CGATGGTCCTACAGCCTCCAGAGCTAACAAGTGAAGATGCCCTTGAGAGAGAAGAGGAAGGATCCCACGGGAACCCCAGAAAAGCCTCAGACCACATGTTTGCAACACATCTCTCATCTGCACAACCACCAGCCTGGGAGAGAGGCATTGCCATCCTCTGTTGTGCAGGAAAGTCACCTGCCCTTGGTATCACACTCAGGAGGTGGAAGAGCTGCGAGTTAAATCTTGATGGTCTAAGTTGATCCCCGGCTATCACTTCACCCTGTTTTGTCTCCATCATGTCATGGCATGTCTCTCCAGTGGAAGGTGTGGCTGTCTTGCTGCCCACCTTACCCCAGCATCTAGCACAGAGTGTAGGACAAGGAAGGTGCCCCATAAATGTTTGCTGAGTGAATGAATGATTGCAAACCAATGGCAAATGAGAGCTCCGGCTCCTCCATTAGCCTGCCCCTTAGAGCTGGAAGACCTGTGCTCACCCTTCACTTGTCCAATCACTACCCAAATGCCCAGGTCAGCCCCAAGTGCCACTTCCTGCAGGAAGCCACCCGATCTCTCCTACTTGGTCTCATCCTCCCTCTGGCCTCTGCTTCTCCCACTGGCCACTGGCTCCCTCAGACACTCCATGGAACTGCAGCCATGTGCCTCCTTGCCAGTCCTCACATGTGCCACCTCCTGATTCAGACCTGCTGCTACTATCCAGAATGTCTCCTAGACATGGGCATACTGGCCCCCTCCATTCATGTCACCTCATCACCTTCCATCCCCTTACCCTGACCCCCTGTCATGTTGTAGCTCTGCTCATCCATGGCCTGTCACCAAGGCTGCATACTCAGTGCCTAGAATCATGCTCAGAACATAAAAAAGTGCTCAGTAAACATCTGTCGGGGGTAATAATCAAGTGCAGACTGGAAAACAAATAATAATGATAATGATTACTTTGGGGCAGAGTTAAAAACAAGTTAGAAGTGAAACACCAGACAGTAAAGACATATACGAGATGGAGACAAGAGGGGACAGGGCAGGTGTGTTGCATGGCCCCCTTTGGCTTCTCTTTGGAGAAGAATGGAGATGATTAATTTTAGACTGCGTTGAGTCAGATATGCATATTAAACATTTATGAGTAACGACCAGATGAATCAAAAAAGAATGTAAAATTTCCAAGCCAGTAGAGGGGAAAGAAAGAAACTTCAATCAATCCAAAAGAAGGCAGGGGCAGAGGACTAGAAAGCACAAAAGGAATGACAGAATGGACATGTTTTACATACTGGGAAACACTAACCAAATATTCATTGTAATTATTCAAATCTGAAAACCGCTGCCAAGGTCCTCCTACACAGAAATGACGAGGACATAGGTCAGTCCTGCAAGGTACTCACAGCTACATGAGATGGACATCAAACACACTAAGGAGACAGACCAACCAGAGGAGCTGGCACATCTCACAACCATCAGGGCCATTAGCTAAATGCATCTCCCTTTTCCCTTTGGCCCCCAGGAAGCTCAGACCCCAATTTCCCACTCACAGATCCCACATAGCCTTGGGTATTGACATTCTAGGCACTTCCTCTGAACTGCTCTATTTCTTTTTTATTTTTTAACTCTGGCTTTTGATTTATCACCAATACTCTATCGATAATTTTACTCTTCTTGCTGCTTTTAGAAACCATCTCAAACCCTTTGACACAAGGTGGATATAGATAAGTAAACAAAAAGCCCAAATGAATAACAAAATACACAAAATAAAACCATGCAAGAACTTCCAGAGATCCCAGACCTTTCAGAGAAATGCATCTCTACCTTGTTTAAAAAAAATGTTTTTAATGTTTTGTAATTTAGGGC